GTTTCACAACTTATAATTATGTAAAAGATGTGTATAAGAGACAGGTTTACCATTATAGAATAGTAAAAAGAATATAGCAAAATACCCTCACCAAAAATAATTTCAAATCCTAGACATAAAACTAACAATTAATTTTATTTGGCCTTATACTATAAGTACTGTATTCTAATTTGTATCATTTATCAATAACAGGATGAGTGTAAAAGGGATGAAGAGGGATATCATTGGTATTTCTTCCGCAATCAAAGCCAAAAATTTAAACAAGGTTCCACTCTTGGAAGTTCTGTATGGTCTTGGTTCCAGGATTTGGTCGGTTTTTAGCCTCATTGATGATGTCATCATTCTGAGCTGTTATTGTACTTAAGTAGGATAGGTCATATTCCCATTGTTAAAATTAATGTTCTATTCTTAATTTTTTGAATAAGCTTTTCAACCATAACTCAAGTGATATTTTTATTATTCTAATGATAGTTTATTCTTATTATTCTAATCTTGTAATTGTTTTTGGTTGTAAAACTAAAGACTACCACTGTAGATAATAGCACAAATTTTGCTGTTTTAGTTCTTGTTTGTTTCGATTTTTATAGAAAAGAAAGAAAGTTGCTGAAGTTAATAATGAAATGGTCCTTAGATTAGAGTCCTGATCTTTAATATATAACAAAAAAATAGAGAATTAGAGAATGGAGTCAAGGTGCATAATAGTATAATCAACATTTCAAATTGTTTGTTGAATCAATACAGTATACAGTATTGCATTCCAGTGCCAATAGGATAATTTTTTTCTTCAAAGAATGTCTGACAGATTAAAATGATGCGTGTTTGTACAGTATAATAAGCCCATCTCAGGTATGATTTCAGTTAGTCCTCGATTATAGTTTATTTTTACATATATTTTCTAATATTTTTAGGGATGTTTTAGTATAAAGATTACAATAGTCTTCTGTTGTGGATTGAAATATTTGTGGAGCTTTGATGAAAAATAAAAAATGTACTCTTCAAAACATGTACAATAATCCTTTAGAGAGTGTGTTATTGTTATTAGTTTTTTCCTCCATACTTAGGATATGACATCTAACTTGAGTTGATTCCTGTTCTTTACTTTCAAGGAAACATCAATAACAATGTGGGCAGGAAAAACACGCATGAAGAACATTCATATACTGTATGTTGTGTAAATACCTGAAGTGGGCAAACAGTTCATCCTATTGTGCATATTAACTTGTACAGTCATAATATTCACAGATGTTTGGGTTTCTGTACAAAACGGCAATAAACGAAAACGGCAGTAAGTCAAAACGGCAAAAAACCAAAACGGCAACACTTTTTAACCAGAATGGCAATAGACCAAAATGGCAATGTTGTCAAAACGGCAAGACCAAAATGATGCTTAAAAATTTATGTCATAAAAGTAAAAACACAAAAAAATAAACATGAAAGTGTACTACTATTAAATATAGTAAAAAATGAGGCTAAATAGCAGCAATAGCAGCAAAAATATCAATAATAATAACCAATAACAATAATAATAATAATAATTTAATAATAATAATAATAATAATAATAATAATTCAATATTACAAAGATTGAGGGGGTAGGGAACAATGTAAAAGCAGTAGGCCTAAAACATTTAAACAAATAAAACTTTCAATACAGACAAAATGAGGCTAAACAATTTATGTCATAAAAGTAAAAAAATATAATATAATACTGTAATAATAATAAACATTGGCAATATACAATGCCTATTGGGACAATTTCAAAACGATTCAGAAAATTATAAACTGGGGCCCGCCCGCTGCATTTTGCTGGCCTTGGTGTTGATTTCGCTCCTTTGCCATTTTGTCTATGCTGTTTTGGTACTTGTCATTGCCGTTTTGGTCTGTTGCCGTTTGGGTATTTGTCATTGCCGTTTTGGTTCATTACCATTTTGGTTTATTGCTGTTTTGACCTGCTACCGTTTTAATAGGTTAAAATTTCTCTCAATTAGGCCTATGTTATAGTTTTTTTTATCAATTATCGGTAGTTAGTAATAGTAGACTTACTGTATTATGGTGTCCCCATTTTGGGTTGACAAAGGCCAGATTTAATGCCTATGTTGCTCTTCATACTATAGAGTAGAGCAGCTTGCAATGACATACCATTGTAACCATGCAGTGGGTAGAAGGTCAATACTGATGATGAGGCATAATAAAACTCTTTATTCATAGAGAGATAAAAAAAAATACCAATGGCTTTGTGAGTGACTGTTAAAGTGTGTTGTATAAACGGGCCCTAAAGGAGCAAAGTCGAGAAAAAGGAAAAAAAGGTGGCAGTCAAAAAGGAAGTGGGTGGGGTGAGAAACTAATTTGTTACCACCTACATTAGGATTCTCACATTGCCATTTGTATCTCTAAACTAAGTTATTAATGCCAGCTTGGTGTGGTGTATACATGATTGCTATACCACACAGACACTCAAGGGAATTTTACTATGCTGACTGTACTATCAAAGTATTGACACTAAATTTTACTGGTGTACAACTCTAACCACCTTAAAAAGATGGTCTAATACTTTCCCACAACTTTCCCCTTTAGAAACACATTCTAGCGTTTCTGTTAGAGTTTTGTTTTTTTATTTCCTGGTACAACAAATTGAACTGTATCCAAGATGAAGAGGATCTTGTAGTAATTTATTTATTTTGTGGGCCTAGAAATTAAAGAAACATTACAGGCCTAAAGGAATAACAGGAATTCTTTTGAGTCAAGGCCACAGTTATATGTTTGACCGGTTTTTTAAGTATTTAGAAAAATAACACTACAAACAATTTGTGCAGTCAACCAAAGTAGTAATTCAAAGAGAAGAATAAATACACTGAGCCGTAAACTTTAGAAGCACTGTATTGTAACACTGATTCGTACTGTACTTGTCCAGTACTGTAGGCTCCACATCTTTATCTTCTATAAGCTTCTTGTCTATTTCTACTACAAAAATATTTCTGTTGTTTGAGGAAGAATCAGGACGAACAAAATTATTCTAACCTGAAAAGGTATTTGAACAATATTTTCTGTCAACAAGATGGCAGGTGTTAATAAATTCATTATTTTCACTTAAATTCAAAGTATTAAACCAAAATAAATAATAAAAAAAATGCTCAACAATTTGTTCATAAAAGTGCAGCAATATTCAAATGATTAATTACTGTACTCTAAATCACAGGGGGGAAAAGTGCAGCCCGCATATGACCCGATAGTAATTTTTTTGCGGCCCGTGAAAACAAATAAAAAACCCTATGTATGTGGCCCGCCAACCATTTTTCGCTTTTTTCGGGCCGACACCAATCATCTATAATAAGTAATATTAAAATTGAGAATAATGTGGTACAAAATCAGTTCATGAAGGTTTTTTTAAAGCACACAGGAACCATCAGAATTTGGATGTGGCCCTCGGTGTTAAATCAAAAATTCACTTTGGCCCTCTGACCGATTTTTATGACCACCCCTGTTCTAAATAGTCACTGACAAGCAGAATTAGGTAATTTAGGTTTTTTCCTTTGATGATTGAATTATTGATGTTTTAAGGTCAATCCAAGTTTCATCTTCTGGTCTTTGAATTAGTACACAACTTTCCAACCTTGGATAATCATAATATTTGGAAAAAATTTCTTCTGAAGTTTCACTTGGGATTTACAATGAACACATCTCCAGGATTATTTAACCAAGAAAGGATTGTTACACCAGACAGACCACTCCACCCAACACCACCTTACCACCAGTGATTTGTAAACTGGTGATTTTAAAGGTCAATTACGTTTCATCTTCTGGTTTTCAAATTAGTACCAAATTTTCTAACCTTGGATAATAATAATATTTGACAAATTTTTTCTCCTGAATTTACACTTGGGACATCTACAACATCAGTGCCCCTAGAAAGGAAGCGTTCTTACACCAGACAAACTGCTTCACGGTAATCTCCATGCTGTGCATCAAGAACTAAAAAACATACAGTAGTGCAAACCTTGGTTGATTTTCCAGTGACCAGATACTAGCTGCACTGTCAGGAAATGTTTCACAACTTATAATTATGTAAACATATGAATTTTTATGCTTTAATACCTGTGTAGCCTTCACAGTATATCCGTTTGTTTCATTGAGAAGTTGTTAAACAGGCAGCAGCATTCGTATTAAAATTAAAAGCAGTTTTTCTACAGTGAGTCAATATTCTGATCTTTGTACATTTTTATCTTTGGATTCTGATTTATGTTCTTATCTAGAATTATCAGATTTGTATTGCTTGATACATCCATTGTGATATGGAGATATCCAACCCATTTTTCACACAAACAGTCCAAGGTATTATATTACGATGTGTAATATTTCAACTACTATCCCAGAATTGCCTCAATATATTAATAATAATTATCCATATCCTGTAATGAATTATCAGTAATATCTACTGCCAGTGCTGAGTCAGAAGGGGCTACAATATTTTTTAAAATAACTTTTTCAACAAACAGTACCAGAATTGATCATCAAGTATCCGATTGGTGCAAGCAGTTCATGAGTGGGCTGAAAAGATATTAGATTTCATAGTGCTGTCATTCACTGAAGAACTACTGGACCAGGAAGTTTACAGAATATTATTGTCAGAAGTATCAGTGTGTAATGAGTACCGGTGTGATAGTAGACTCTAGCATTGGATGTATTGAGCTTAGAGCAACGGGCAGTACATGTTCAATACAAAACCTTCGGAGGCCTACACCGTGGGAAGTTGTATAATTATTTGTTTCTATGCTGGATATTTTTTTACAGAGATAGGTCTTCTGTTTATTCTGAAAACAGAACTTCAACACTAGTACAGTACTTCTGTTATTGATTGCAATTGTGTCTAGAATACTGCACAAATATTTAATCAACTGAAACGATATTATTTCATCATTGACAACCTTTGCAGTCATATCTGTCTATTACGCTATATTGCGCTTGTTTATGCGAAATTTCTGTAGTTGTGGTTTGCCGGTTTTTTTCACACTACAAGATATTTCATTTCTTCCTTCAGCAATTTAGAGATTTATATTTGTCAGCAGTAAGTCTGATACGATAGTCCACTGTCTGATGTGACATTTCCACGGATCAGATATTTCTAGATTATTTTTTGTCAGAATTTCATCACTTTTTTCTTGGAATCGTAAAAACATTCACATGAGATATTATGCTGAAAGTAAAAACAAACAAACGAGAAGAGAAATCTAGATCGCAGTGGTACGTTTTTGATGATATTCCAAAGGAATTATCAAATGGAGAAGCGACGGAGATTGTGAGTGGTGTTAAACCAGAAATTAACGGATTTCACTCGGCTAGGATAGATCTAGATGAAATTTCTGAGGAAAACAATAACCAGCACATACCACCAGGTAAACAATTTGCAATATTTTTTATATAAATATTTATTGTTAATGTTATTTTGCTCAGTGGGCTAATTGGGTGGTAGCCACTGTGTGTTTGCTGTAGCAGTTTCATTTGTGAACATAAAATTGTTGTTTGATTATAATGTTAGACATTTAATTGCAGTGTACCTGATTTATATTGTCAACTTTGAATGACAAACTTTCTTTATACTTGTGCGGTGGTTGTGGTTAGTTTGAACAGGAAATAATTCTTGACTCTTATTTCTTATGTACATCAGTTCTTTAAAGCCGGGCACAGTACTGCATTTGGCGAGCTGTTGGCCAGTAAATCGTTAGCTTTGTGTTAGCGCTTGGCATGCTTACGTTATGTGCTGATTTGATGGTGGCAGTCTAAGTGGTTCACTGTTCCATACATTACGCGATTATCGTAATGTGGTATTTATGGAATCGTATCCTCCAGCTTAATACGCACATTGGCCTTGTGGCTTTTAAAAAGCATCTTTTTTTTAACGATGTTGGGTTATAATACTGGAAACACTAGCAGTGGATTGAACTGGGAAGATGCTGGTCTCCATGGTTCAATGCACATATTCAGCTACCGCAAGCCTCTCATTAAAATAATTAAGCTGTTAATATACCATACTTTCAAATATTTTATGATGAATTTCATGCATTTCCAAGTAATGGAACAAAATTTTATGCTGTATTGTGTTGCATCACCTTGATAATAAACCTGATGTAAGGGCAGGTAAATTTAAAGATCTTGGAACATGGTATTCAAATATACAATTTTAGTTCATATGTTAGCCTCTAATTTAGCCTAATGTGTTAATTGTACTCATCAGTACACGGAAAAATCAATTTCATAGCCATTTTACTGACTTTTAAGGGTATTTTTGTAACGGATTTGTATCTCCCGAGTCGCTTCCTGAAATCGGTAATAAAAGCAGGAAATACATT